AATATCCATACTTCTTAAGGTTAGCCATAATATTTACTTTCATAAATACATGCTACTTGTCTTCTCAAGGTGCTACAAGTTGAATGTATCCATGTTCATGCTTTTACATTTTAAACTTTATCAGGCTGTATAAAAGAAGTGATGAGTGGAAATTGTTGACCATCTTAAGTCTCCCACAGGACTACTGATTTGTAGTTGCTTTTAGTGGATTCAGACTAAGACTATGCACAGCCTTGCAGGTCCCCTAGGGGACATTTAACTGTATGGATGTAGTGTTATTTCCATTTCCAACATTTTTGTTGCGCTTCCTCGGTTAAATACTACTTATGGCAATCTGAAGAATTAGTAAGTTAATATGCCAAACCACACCGTGCTATCTTAGGGTTCAGTTTTAGAGTATCCTTATCTTGAGTAATTGCGGGCTGCCGCTAAAAGGTATTGAAATTTGCTTAGGCAAGGTATTTTCAAAGAAAAGCACAATAGTTGATGTGTGAGAGGAAATGGAAATGTTCTGTGGGGTTCTTCCCCTGCTGACAGTTGACAGCATTCTGGCACGTTGACAGTTAATGGGACAAATGTATTATTAGTTTCCTCATTAATAATAGAAATCTGGAATCTGCATCCTGCCTTTCTTCACGTATGCGCTTCTGCAAAATTGCTAGAAAATGGAACAAAATGTCAAATTTCAGGCAGGCAAGTTTATCTGATATAGCTTAATCATGTTTTAATGAAAGACATTGCAGGCATACATTGTGTAAGAGTCTTAAAAGTCTGACAGTTTCTGAATTTAGACTTATTTTAATATTTAAAGACTAAGACTTTTGGTGTTGTAGATCTTTGAAGCTAGACTTCATAAGACTAGTCACCAGTAGATTAGCAGACAGGAAAATACGAAATCTTTGGCTTTCTCCTGAGAGCTGTGTTTACAGAGCTGGGCAATACCAGGCACATCTGAGGATGCTTTCGTGAGAGGTGAAGAGACAGGGAGCACAACGGGTTCTGAGCCGAGTGGGAGCAAAGCATTGAGTGGAAGTAAACTTGCTTATAAAACAGGAGGCTTACACTTCCCATGGTTGATGGACAAAACTGTGTAGAAGTTATAAGAGACTTTGAGGTGAGAGGTGCAGAGGAGATGGATGTCAGGGCTGGTTTAGCCTGAGGAAGCTGTAATGGCTGGATGAAATGCCAGAGGGTTGGAGGCGAGGGGAGGGCCTTTGTATGTTCTGAGACCTCTGTCATCTGTGCTGATCCGAGCGCGCTACATCCAAGTGGCTCATTTACATCCCACAGTAGCTCACCATACAAAATATGCAAGAAATGGCTTTTCCTTGAATTGACATCTTAAGCTGAGTAAGTCAGTTTTATGCTAGAAGAACTTGCATTTAAAATGAAGATATAGACTATACCTCTTGCTAACACAGTAGAGGCTGATAATTTTTGGTGAAGAGCACGTGGGGCTGCAGAAAAATAAATAATTTAGGTGCAAGTGGAGATACTCCTTCCTCACTCCAGGATACCTCTCCCTCCATCTTCGTTTATTCGCTCTTCTCCCTTGCTATCACTGTTTAATTGATACCACCTTTCTATCCTATCTGTTGGTCTGGGGTGCTTTGAGTTCTTTCTCTGCTTCAACCGTTAGTATAAGCCTACGCTTCAATCTCGTCTGAAGCTTATGGGAACAAACCTCATGGATAATGGGAAAAGAACCAACTACTATGATTCTGGTTGCATGTGCTTAAGCATATGTTTAGCTACATGGAGATTTTTCAGGCTTGTTTTTAAGTCAAATTGGGCAACACACTGATATATGTGTTCAGCTCCTGTACATTCCTCCTGTAAACAGTTCCTGCAAAAGCAGTCTTTGCACTGCAAAACCCATCTCCCCAGCCTTGCTTCTTCTTCATTTCCTAGGACTTGGAAATATTGCCAAATAGCAGTCTGAGAAGCATTCCATCTCCACAGTCTGGGGAGACTAGTTGAGGTAGCAACGGGGTGTTTCAGGCATGGTCCAGGTAGATCAGCTCTCTTGGGGAATGCCTACAGCTATTACAAGAACTTCTGTTATAAGGAAGAGTTACTTGACAAGTTTCATGACTAAAGGGGAAGGATTCACTGAAACATTCTTGTAATTTATTTTGTAGAGTTAAATAGATAGACTGGCAACTAGATGACTGAGGTTTTTCAACTGTCAGTAGAAGATACGGTGTGTGTCAGGCTGTTCAGCATTATTCTGGTGCAATGTATGGCACAGTTTTTAACATTTTAAAGAGTCCGGTAACAGGGAATGCCTTTTAAACCATAATCTGATAGTGCTTTTGTAGAATGTTATGTTTTTTTCCATTTTATTTCTTTATTTGTTACTAATTGAGCTTTTTGTTTCATGGGGTTTTTTTATTTGATTTTAAATTCTAAGTGTCATGGCTGACATCAGTTGGTGAATTTTTCAACAGGGTAGAGGCACATTTAATTATATCTGACTGTCAATGAATCATGTCCCTCAAATCATTTAGCTCATTCTTTTTTAAGTAACCAATTATAATTAAACCTTTGACAGCAGGAGCCTGTAATTTGTGTGGAATTAAGATAGGAATGTAATAATTCTTGGGACTAGAAAGTTTAGCAGCTTTATTTATTTATTTCCTAACTGTAGCTCTTAAAATGCCCTGAATTGTGATACAGTGTATCTACAATATTTTGCTTTAGGAATCTATGTTGGAATAGTTTCTCCTTCAAAAGTTTTTGAATAGTTGCTTAAACACATTTAAAATACTTCAACTTTTGAATGTAATTTTTTTTTTTTTATTGTTGAAGTAGATGTTATAGGTATTTCCTTTCTCTGTTTATGCAGCCCAGTGAAAAGAAACTGGCTCTAACTGATTGCAAGCTTGGGGAGCAAAATCCTCTCATATTTACTGAGGCTTGAAAAAGCCTTGTTGGACATGACTTCTTTTAGATAAGCCTGATTTTCTTCATGGGTATGGAAAGGCAGGTGAGGACACAGCTCTCAGAGAGGTGAGCTTTCTGTCCCTCATGCACGGCAGAGAGTGCAAGTGCCAAAACCAAAGGTTGTTGAAGAAGGGGAGACTCAGCCTAGGGCGAGTGGGGCTGTGGGCTGGCGCTGGGCTGGCCTCCTGCGTGTTGCAGCCCTGGCCGAAGCTGTCTGTCGGCCAAATACTTTGGCACCATGTACAGGCAAAACTGTCCTTCGTGCTTTCCCTCTCTCTGGCCAGCAAGTCGATTCCACATCTTCCCTGGCAGCTTTGCTCTGGGAGATGCCTGCAGCGGACAGAGGATGGACCTGGCGAGTGCAACGCTTCCTGGTCACCTCCCCTATGGACGGTACCAACGCTGGCTAAAGTGAGAGAGGGAATTTACGTGCCAAACCTTGTCACAAACTTGATTTTTTTTTTTTTTTTTTTAATTAAGGATCGGCATAGCTACTGTAATAGTCCAGAATGTGGACTTTTCAATTACGAAGCTTAGACTTAGTGTACAAATGTTTGTGTGGTTTGGGGTTTTTTTTACTTCTCTGTGAAGCAGAGAGGATTAGACTAATTGGCTATAGGCAGTACCTAGCTGACTGCAAAGCTGATATAATCAGAAAGGAGTGAAAGTTTTATTACAGAAAGATTACACACAAAATTCTTTTTTTCTTTTCTGTAGTAAAAATAAGCAAGGATTTATTTTACATGCTGCTATATGCTAAAATACTATTATTAATTATAAAATGGTTAATAAAGACAAGTTTCCCAGTACATACTGCCAAGCACATTTTACAGTATTGAACATGTAGCAAATGACAAAGCTTTAAGGCTATAAAATTTGCTTGGTAATAATGCTGTGTATGGTATACATATAAAGTCTTTTAATATAAAGGAATTCTTTTCTAAGAAATTGTTGTTTCTCACAGTCCTTTTCTTAAAGTATACTTGGTTTGTTTCACCCTTTGATCCTGTGGAGTTTACCAAATTGAAAGAAGATTCAGTTAAACACTTGGATTTGGCTATTCAAAATATTGACCTTTAGATGGGAAGGCATCAACATTCATCTATAAACCTTGGATGGAGAGGAGCAGTCCTTCCTGCATTTGTTTCCAAAGAATCCGAAGTGAAGTATTAAAACTTTCCTTATCTCGATGCTGATACCAAACAGCAGAGCCCTATCTACTAAGCTGTTCTGGCTAATCCTACGTTGTTCCATGTCACTATATCTTAACACAGTTTTAGTGGATAAACTCAATAGTTTTTTTCTCAGTAAAAGCTACCGTGCAGTTTTATTTTTTTTCTCCTGTGGACTTGTGCATTGAGATGTTGCCTTTCTTTTTTTAATACAGGGGGGTTTGGTGGACTATACATCCTTTTTCCTTCTCTTGTTCCCCTTTTCCCTGATTATTCCTTTTATTCCTAGCAGCTGGTATGCAGGACCTCTGACAAGGCCCGTTTTCCTTTTCTGGCCTCGACTGACTGTATGTATTTCCGCATCAGTGACAGGTATTCCTGGCAGTTGTGACCAAGAGTATTTTGATGATTACAATTTCTGGAAGACTTGTGGATGGGGGTTTTTTGTCACTCTTGTATTTAGAGAGTCACGTAGCAGTTTATGTTGAAGGGACCTCTGCAGTGTCTGGTCCAAACGCGCCTCACCTGCTGCATGTGCCTGTGCGAAGGAAGGGCAGCGCCCCTGGAGCTCTGTGGATGACCTGGAGCTTTCTGCCTTTTGCCCTTCTGTTCGTTGTCGTCTAAGATTTTTGCTACCAACCATTCACTTCTGGTTTTCTATTATTTTTGCCCTTCTAGAATCCTATTTTAGGAACATTACTAAAAATAAACCATTTCAGACACATGCCATCTCATTCCTGCAGATGTTAAAAGGAACATACATTTACATATATGGTTTACTTGGGAAATGTCTTCTGCATCTTATAAAGACTTCTGCTTTTTGTCAGATTACATACAGTTGTAAAATCTTAGTTTTTCAATTTTTGTTTCTCTACAGACCAGAGCAAAATTTGGATGAAGCGATCTAACTAAGTTGCCGTCATGAGCAGAAGCAAGCGTGACAACAATTTCTACAGTGTTGAAATTGGAGACTCTACTTTCACTGTATTGAAACGGTATCAAAACTTAAAACCAATAGGATCGGGAGCACAAGGGATAGTATGGTAAGGCTTCTTTAAAATTTAAGTCTCCTTTTAGGTTCCCTTGATAGATGTGTCCTTTAACTGTTGTGTGTTACTGAATGGGAGTGCGGAGAACTACCCTTTATGTGCAAAATGGCAATAGTCATAGTTAGTCGTTCTCCCTCAGCAGGGGCTGCTGCTCTTGCTTTTTGACCTATGTCCTTTCCTGCTTCCGAACCGATGCCCTTCTGTGTAAATTCAGCCAGCTGTGCTGAGTCCCATAAATTAATGGGGGGGGGGAAAACCTGGATAAAGAAACTAATCCTAATCCTAAACCATGCTGCTTATAGTGAAACAGAAGCCAGAAATACTCTCTGTATAATAGCTGATGCTTGCAAATGCTTTTACTTCTTGAAATGGTTTGTTAGGGGTCTGTTTCACTTAGTTTCATAATCTAACTAGTCCTCGATACCAGTTAGTGAGCATTTGAGATGCTGCCTGTCATTGCAACATGTAAAATACCTGATGCAGTTTAGGAAAGTATGACTTGACCAAATAAGAGTTCTGCTGGGTGGACTGAAGAGCGTCCGATTGCTGTAAGATTGGTGACAACTAGCTGCTTCTAGGCACTGTTTCTTGTTCAGTGACATTACCCCAAAGGTAAATGTGGGTTTAAGCTTCTCAGGGGTTTTTTAAATGTTCAAGAGAAGGATGTAGATAGCACAGGAACTTGCAGACTGTAGAATTTATTGTAACTCTTAAGATGCTAACCAGGGACAGAAAAATATATCAAGGAAGAGAACGGTAGGGAAAAGCATAATCTTCTCAAACACTTCTCCCTGTGACCTCTTTACTGCCTTGATCTTGTCTTGATCAGTGTTTAGAAAATGTGTGGTACGGGTGTGTTTTTAATTCGTGTTTGTGTTTTAACTGGGTCAATAATAAAATAGTGTGCTTAGTGCAAATGAAAACCTGAATGCCAGTTTTGAATTGGTAACTTCTGGCATTGAGATTATTTGGTCTGTAAGTAGCAGCAGCAGAAACACTGATCTGAATTTTGTTTGTGTGTGCGTTCATATAATGAGGACATAGGCAGTTGTTCGACTACAGTCTGTTTAGTTGCTACAGAAATGCCTGCAAAAGCAGAAATGCCCGCGAAAGCTTTAGATCTTACCACTGTCCTTGTGATTCCCAGTCATACATTACCTACTGCCTGTTTTCCAAATTTACTGCCCCTCCCCGAGCTGAGGTCTAAAACCTGACCGTGGAGTTACTCCAGTGTCGTGCTGTAATTGCTGCTAGTGGTAACTGGAGCCTTTTTAATTAAACCACTCTGATTACCCTGACGACTGGAGAGCTCTTGTGGTTAAGTCTTCCCCATGTCTAGAGGAGCTAGGGTTTAATTCTTGTGATTTGAGTTGGGGTTTTTTGTTTTGTTTTTATAAACTGATCCAACTTGATTTGGAAGAATATCAAGCAGATGGCCTAAAGGCTCAACCATATCTAATACTGGAACAGACTCTAAGGCTACTGGTAGGTACTGGGGATGCAGAAGTTTAAATATGGTACCGGAGTCCCATGTTGGCAACCTTTCCTGGCCACCTCTTTGCCACTCTTTTGTAAGCCCTTCCTTATCTTGGGGGTAGGTGGGGGAAATTCCAGATAGTAGAAAATGTAAACCAAAGAGAGTTACCAGTATATGTTGTCCCCATTTTTTTCTTTCTTCAGTAGCGACTAGAGGTTTTGATGATGTAAAAAAAAAAAGTCATTAAAGCCTACATACTATATAGACAACATGCTTCTTAAAGTAGCTGGTTGGATTTAGTAGATGTTGACCGTTTACTGGCAGATGTTCTTCATTAGGTTTGAGTACCATCCTTGATAAGAGACAAGAAAACAGTGTTTTCCCCGCTGAGGCTTTTTTAATAGCTGATAAATATTTCCTGAGTCTGCACAATCGTCAGCTGTTGTATTACCCCTTACAGGAAACAAAATCCGTGTCTTCCTGTCATGGAAATGTGATACTTACGGGAGTTGACCCCCATAACAGTCTTCATCAGTTAAACAGCCCATGTCACTGAAACATCTGACAAGCTTGGCATTAGTCTGCAAACAAAATGTTATTCTGCCTTTTTACCAAGTAAAAGCCAGTAACATCAAGATGTTAAGGCTTTCTCAACATTTTTTTTTTGTTTCGGCATCGATGCTCTTAGTGTCCTGAGGATATTAAGCAACTGCACAAGTGAAAGCATGGGACATTTCTATAACCTGCTTTTCCTCTCTCCCTCTCCCTTCCTTTCAGTGTGAACATTTTACATCAAATTGATGTGCTTTTTATGTTAGAAGTGTTTTGGATCTTTTTAGGTGGTCTGTTCTTCAGTGCCGATGAGTGGCAAGAGCTCAATATCTTCAGTAAGATATTTTAGGAAGCACAGATTCTGCTTTTTTTTGATAGAGATTGTCATGTGTTAGTACTGTGAAGCTGGGAAATATTTCTAGATGTTGAATCGCTTGGCATATAAGAGCACTTTGCTATTACACTCCCTAAAGCTGAATAATACAGGAGATTTGGTTTATCTGCAGACATGATGCAGGGTATCTGAAAAAGGTGGCAACTGCCACAGCTTAAAGGACTTTGACACTGAGATGTAATAATGCTATTTTTAATTACAGTGCAGCTTATGATGCCATCCTTGAACGAAATGTTGCAATCAAGAAGCTAAGCCGACCATTTCAGAACCAAACCCACGCTAAAAGAGCCTACAGAGAGCTTGTTCTTATGAAATGTGTTAATCACAAAAATGTAAGTGCGGTGTCCTGCTTTAAATGTTAAAGAATTAACTAGAAGGCCATTCTTTGTAAAAGTCTTAAAAGTGACTTCAGAGGATGACATCCTCCGTACATTACAGAGGTTTTCATTGCATGGCTGTGTCTCCATGATAAGTGCAGCAGGATCTTTCAGAAGAGCTATTACTTGCAAGTTTTAATACTTGCCCAATCTTTAAATACCCCCTTCAAACTCAGGAAGGGAGTCAGTATCACAGTCCTACATTTTACAGGCAGCTGGCAAGTAAGAATACTGTGAGTGGTAAGTACACCCTAGTTTCTGTTGCTTCTGCTAGGCAAATAGGAGGAAAAAAGGCTGTAATAGTTTTTTTAATTTTTTCCTGGTGCATGAATGTGTTGGGAATCTTGTGTTGTCACGGCAGGAACTGTCTGATCCTTAAGAAGATCTGGAATAGACAAGATCACAGAAATGGGGAGAGAATAAGTGATAAATTTATCCAAGTTGGACAACAGAGGGGTGGCATTGGACATTTTCTTCCTTCAGAGATGGCTGTGTGCTGTCTTACTCACCTTCCCTCTTAATCTTCCTTTAGCAAGATAAGATTCCACCTGGCTGCTGGGGATGGAGAGAGTCATAGAAGACTTATTCTGTCTTTTAGCTTCTTGAGAAAATTCGGGGTTTTTTCTAAAGCAGAGTTGGTTTATTGGTGGATTCTCTGAAGGATGTTTTCCCTAATAGCATAATTTGTATGATGATAAACTATTGCAAGCCTGCCTGACTCTTGATGAGTAGTAGCTTGACCTGTTTGTGCACATCCTATCCATTCTTAGCAACTGGGAAATATCCTAAAGCATCTCCACAAATCCTTTTTTCTCTTTGGGTGGGCTTGCTGCTTCACCTCTGTCAATGGCAAAGTGGTATCTCTTAGGTAGTCTTTGTCAGTTTTTAATTCTGTTTTTCCTTGTATGCAATAAAAATCTTAACAGCTCTCTTCAAACTGGAAGTAGGAAGCAGGGGAAGATTGACTAACTTCCTTAGGTTTTAAGCTTTGAATATCATCTTGTTAATGCACACAGAGTGTTTCTAGATTATGTGATTTGTGGAGGAAAAATAATCCTCCTAAAATCATTAGCATCTATTACAGCATGTTAGGCCTGGTTGAGCCGCTGAGCATCTTGAGCTTCAATGTATACCAGGAGATTTGCATCAGAATATTTGGTATCAGTTTTGAAATGTTGACCTTGCAATTTTGCTGTGGTGCGATTATACTTCCTCTCCCCCTTCCTACAGATAATCGGCCTACTGAATGTGTTCACACCACAGAAATCCCTGGAAGAATTTCAAGACGTGTAAGTCTGATTTGAACTGAAGCTGAGAATTAATTTTAAAAATATTCACGCAGAAAGATGAACAAGGGAAAGAATACAATAAAATGGCAGTATTATCTGACTTTTTTTTTTTTTTTTCTTGCGTCACAAGCTACATAGTGATGGAGCTCATGGATGCAAATCTCTGCCAAGTGATTCAGATGGAGCTGGACCATGAACGGATGTCCTATCTTCTTTATCAAATGCTGTGTGGTATCAAACATCTTCATTCAGCTGGTATTATACATAGGGTAAGTGAACTTAACTGTGTGTATTTTGCTTTGCACCCGGTTTTGCCTTGAGTATTTATAAGACAGAAAAAAATCAGGAATGAGAACACAAAGGGTGATCCATAGCCTGTCTCATAGGCAGAGAGAGAAAGCTGAAAGGAAATCATCACACTTACCTTTTTCCACTGTAATTCTAGAATGAACCTTTTGAATGTTTGAATGATTTGATAATAATCTGCACAGAGCAAATAAAGATTTGTGCGGTGAGTTGCATTACCTCCTCTAATTCTGTATAGTGTTCTATTTTATTAGTCATGGCAGGAAAGAATATCTCAAAGTGTCTCTGCCTTTATTGTTTTGGTAACCAAACCTGAAATCCCATCTTTTGAAAGAACTGCCCATTTTATTTCTGCTCTTTTACTAGCAGGGTAATGAATAAATATCTGAAGTCTCCAGAGAAACAGATGGTGATAAAGACCTGTAAGTGGAACTTTCATACGCCTGTGTGTCACAAAGCATTCACTCAGACTGCCCGCAGGCAACAACTGACTACTGCTTTTTAAATGGCATGTATTTGTTGCAATCCAGTCAAAAAATTCTGAATTTAAGGTTGCCTGTTCAAGTTGAACATCTCATATATATTTGTATGTAGTGTAGAGATTTCTTGAGATTGTCTAGTTATAATTTTTCAAATACAATCTCTGCTATTTTGGGAAAATCTAAGCTTGTATTTCTATAGTTCTACATTTTTGATTGTAATTTTTTAAGAGAGTTTGAAAAGTTTTGGTTTCTGAAATGATGCAGAAGATGTAATTAAACTTACTCATCTGTGATACTTTCAGTCATTACTGCATAGTCTTCCTCACAGATGATGTACCCAGCAAAGTAAATCACGAATGGCAATTCTGAGTGCTGCCACAGGAATTGCAATGTTCCGATGCTCGCCCAGTTCAGCGGTCCACTTCTTTGCGACTGGGGCATTGAATGTGCCACAGGCTGGCCCTGGCAGTGTGACGCTCCTGTTCAGTGTGCTGGTTTTCCCTCAAGGGAACTGGGACAATTGTTTGAATAGAGAATATGGTTTAAGTGGCCAAACACTGCGTCGTGTTGCTCAGCTAGTTCTAGAACTCATCAGCTGCCTCATTTCAGTGAGGAGCTCAGGGAGGGAAAGTTGAAGGCTTCCTCCTCGTGTGCAATCTGCCCTGAACTGCTGTGTTTGGAAGAGGTGGGCAAGGGAAGGTAGGCAACCAGGCATTGCACCCTGTGCTTCTTGGTCTGCACGTGGGCATTGAGACAGGGCAGTGGGCTTCTTGGCATTACTCTGGGAATGCCAGACAGAACTAGGATACTTCACTTACCACAGTTGTGGTACTATCTTGCGTATGACTGACATCATGCAGCCCTTTGTGTCCTAATGCATGTGCCTGGCGGGATTGAAATAATGGTTTTGTACGCAGATTCACATTTGCTGGTCTCTTCAGTACTTAGGTATGCGAGTTTAATGCTGTGGGTTTTCCTACATCTTTTTTATTTTTGGAAAACTGCATATTGTATGGACGTGCTAGAGCAGGTAACATAAGAACGTCTCATTCTGTGGATCTTAGCGCAGGCTGGAGGGAGCTTCTCAAACTTTGCTTGCTTCAAGGGCGGTTTGCACTCCTGTAAAGCAGACATTAAACCACTGAGCCCATAGAAGTCATGGATAAATGTAAACGTTCATACATTTATAGAAAAGAAGTAACTACTCAGGTAGTTGTTGGGCAGGATTAAAGACAGCTTCTAGGATAGAATTCCTGCCTCTGGAAACATGGGTGAAGTCTTTGAAATACTTTGTGTGGTGCGGTAACATGAAGAACAGGGATAACGTATTCTAACAAGACTATAGATACAATTGCTATGTAAATGGTAACATATGTATGCATGAATGCTTTTGAAGGACATGGGCAGATACATTTCACTCGCGTGTCTTCCCGGTGGATTTTCAGCTGACAGCTTCTTCTCAGACTTCGTTAGATTATGTTCAGGCAAAATGTTTGCATTACCTACCTACTGTGTGCATAATGCCTTTATACTTCAAGGTGTAAAGTATCGAAATCCTGTTTCCCTGTGGAACAAGTTAAACAAAACCTCAGAAGGTAAGGAGGCTGTGCTTGAAGTGGGACATATTTCCTATGGACCCTGTGGCTGCAATAGTGACTCTTTATACCACTCTGCTGGGCTTTCAGCACCACTGTCCTTAATGCCTGAAGCTAATTACTTTGTTGAAAGTAGTTACTTCTTACACATAGTCTGTGCTGCTTTGGCTGCCCATGGAGCATTCCAGCTACGAATCTAGTGTGCTGCTTCAGAGTCCTCTAAAGCTTTAAGCGTTTTTTTGTGTTGGTAGTTTCACATGGTTTTTATGTGGGTTCTTCAGCTTCTAATACAGCTGCAGTAATCTCAGCATCTCAGTAACTTTTTCAGAACTTCCTGAATGACTGAAATTGCAACAACTTGTATATGTGCCTGTAGCACTGGGTGTTACCTGCCATAGAAATAAGTGGGTTTTTTCATAGCAAACTAGAGGCACAGAACACGACAGAGATCAAACACAAAGAGTTTCAGACAATTTCACCCAGAAGTTGTAGGGGACGTTCCCAGCTGCCACAGCAGTGGATAAAGATTTGATCTTGGTAAAGACTTGACTATAGCTTTACAATGGCTTTAGCAGATGTTGGCAATTGAACAGTACTGCGTTCAAAACATTTTGCAGAGATGGAGTTTCCAGCAAGTGTAGAAGTACACGTTCATTTATATTTCGCAGTCTGAGGAGGATGAGTGATCAGCGTTGCAGAGTTGTGCCTCACTGACTTGCTGAAGGACACAAAGTGGCTCATTAGTCTTGCATGGAGGCCCTGAACCATTGCATTCTGCCTGATTTTGAGCACTTAGCAGAAGTGCCTAATTATGGAAGCCCTTCACTCAAATCTTTCTTTATAAAGGGAAAGGCCCATAGTTACCATCCAGAGATGCCCCCCTCTCCCTGTCTGGTTAATGGGGAGACTGCCATGAGTAATCTCTTATTTTTAGGCACTGACATTTTACATTTTTAAGGTTAGGTGAGATATCTTCTGCTGTAGGTTCTGGATATGTTTATCCAGTGTAACTAACTTGATCACTCTTATAGGAGCTTACGAGTCCCTGTTTATTTAAAACATAAGAGGTATTGGTTCTGCATGAATTTGCCTGCAGTGTAAATCAACTCTTGCCTCCATCATTTTGAAGGACAGTTCTGTATTCCAAATTACAACATGTTCCTAGGCTTCATGACAACTATACAATGTTCAGAAATTAAGGATGGACAGTACTCCGTAAGCTTTTGCTTTTTGTCCTCATAATGATTTTTTGCTTGCAAAGGGAAGACCTCTTGGCCGTTTCAGCGTTAATCCTGCAGCTGTGGGGAGGATGAGGATAGTTAATACTACAAGCATTCACCTGGGATTCTGCAGTGAACATCCTCCAAATAATAGAGTGTGCAAAAATAAAGCTGATAATAAACAGGATTGTAGCAGAATCTGAAACATGCATATTAAATAGCTGGAATGCCTTATAATACTTGAATTCATTCGTGGCTTTTGAGAACCTTTTAAGCCAAAGTTGTCTGCAGGGTCTTTGTGTGCATGATTTGGAAGTGCATGCGTGAATATGTAAGTATGCAAGACTTTTAATTAATCCATTAAAATTCTATTGTTCTGGAACTCTTTTTTTCTGGTTTCCTCGCTGTCTTTACTGCAGCTTTCTTAGCTTTCCGAGGAGTTTGCTGAAAGCCATACAAGTACAAATGAAAACTACATATATCTTGCAGATAGCCACTTTTAAGTCTCTATGAAACAGTGAAAGATAGAGCTACTTATCAAATGCCTGCAGCTCAAATGCTGGAGTCCTCTGCCACGTCTCGGGTTTTTCTCTCATTAATCTTAGTAGAGTGTAGGCAGAAAGGTTCCAAGCCTTATCTCTCTCAGCCGCTGTGCTATGAATGATTTTATGATGGCAAACTTATTCTGAAGTTACTCTGTTGCTTTGTGACATTCAGATGTGTGTAAGATCCTCCTGAGATAACGACCGAGTACGCCTGTGTAGTGTACATATAAAGAGATGTTGTAAAGCCACTGTTGTCAATGTGGTTCCAGGGCTCAGGTGAATACACTTACCAAGTGTCTAACGAAGATGATCAGAAGCTGTATCAGGGCATTTTCCACTCTAATTTAATGATCGTGTTAATTTCTGGCAGTTTTTCAATGGTCCCCTTTTAGGTTTGGTCACCAAAATTAGTATCAAACCAAATCCTAAATGGGAAACAAAATCTGTGATTTCCTTCCTGTTCAGAGAAACTTCTGCATTGGTTCAAAAGAGGTAGTGCAGCCTCAGCTAGCAAAGAGACCATTTACTTTTTACATTTGTGTTATAATTTTAATAATTCTTGTATCAAGATGATTATTGCATCAAATGATTTAAGCAGCTGTCATGTTACTTGTGTTCTGCATCATAGTAATAACCGTTGTTCCAGTGAACAGTTTCTAGACCTTTCCTCAGAGCTAACATTTCTTACTAACCTCAATTTATTTCAGACACTGCTAACATATCTTGTAGCGCCAGTTGTATTTTCCTTCTTTAATAGCTATATAAATCTACAACCACAAAAAGGGAATTAAGGCTGTAGTCTGCTGAATGCACATGAATTAATGCAAGGGGAAAAGAAACTGCAGTTATAGCAATAACCTAGTTGTGTATGTGGGATTTAATGTTAGCAGTATTATCTTTTTAAAATGTGAACCACAGAGTACTTTGTGCTTGTCTTAGCAGTCATATATGATGTTTCTTTTTAAAGGATTTAAAGCCCAGTAATATAGTAGTAAAGTCAGACTGCACTTTGAAGATTCTTGACTTTGGACTGGCCAGAACTGCAGGAACTAGTTTTATGATGACGCCTTATGTAGTGACTCGTTACTACAGAGCACCAGAGGTCATCCTAGGGATGGGATACAAAGAAAACGGTCAGCAAATATAGTCTTTCTTTGGCATAGCTTTATTTTTTGTTTGGCGCACCACATTTTACATGTTAATGTTTTTTCAACCTGTAGAAATTTTATGAATTATCCTTGTGACCAAAATGCAGATTCTGGATACACCAATTTGCTTATTCAACTCAACCCATTAGAAATGTTTGCATTTAATAGGAGAAGAAATTGAGGGCCTTGTTTGTTTAAAATTTTAAACAACTTGCTTGGTAGATTGAGTTTCATCCAGGAAGAACTGGAAATATTATTTCCTTAATACGTGGTACGTACCTTGATATACCTTCATCTGACTTTATTCCTGATGAGGATGTATATTGCAATTCATCAGTAAATGTGTGTCCTAAATTCAATGTTTAAATAACTATATTCAATATAGCTTTTCAAGATATAGGGAATTTAAAGGCTACTACTTGAGACAAGAGTGCAGGGAGTACTGTCATGAAGCATCATAGATTCTTTGAGGTCCATGATGAATTCCAAGGAAATTTGTTTACTTTGTCCCTCTGCTTGCATACATTGCCCTCCTCCTTACACTCGCTCTGTGGCCCTTCTTCTCTCAATGTCTTCTACAAGAAAATAGGGAAAGGATACAGCGTTTGAGGGAAACACACGATCAAGTACATTGCATCTTCTGAATGAAACAGCTAGTATACTTTAGGAAGCCAAGGAAAGTAACATGCGGTTCCTGAAATTCTGTTGTAGCGGCCCCGGTTGTGCTGCCATTTCACTGATCCGCTGTCACTGCGCTCTGTTCGGCTCACTTGGTGTTTCCCCCTCAGGCAGGCACAGTGCACCGCGGTCACCGTTTGCTGAAGGTACTTTAAGCCCTCTCTTGATGAGTCCTCCAGTAAGGCCCATGAGATGCCGTGGTGCTTGAGGCTCTGTTAGCTGTCCCCAGGTGATGTGAGGCATGGCTTGCTTGTCAGGGTTGCTGACACAACTGGGGCTCACTCAGCTTTTCAGGTTTCTTAATATAGTCTGCAAACTTCCCTGGCAACTGCATCCCATTACGGCAAGTGACTTCAGGTTGTGCACAAATGATAGAGAGTTGATTTTCTTGCTGTTTACAAAAGCCAGGAAGATAACATCTATCCATGTTGGCAATGAAAGAAGCCTGCTCAAAGGACCAAGAACAGATCTTTTTTGCAAGGCAATGGGTTTTATTTCTGTTCTGGTGAGTCAAATGGCCTCCATGGTTGGCTACTTTTCTCGTAATTTAGAAGCCAGAGGTTGAGTGGAGCAAGCTTAAAGTTATTTTTTTTAACTGCTGAAGTTTTGTAGAAAGCATATATTTAGGTTTGTCTTTTTTTTTTTCCCCCAAGAACTTACATTGTTACAGTTAAGAGACACTAGACAAAAGAACCTAAAGCTGTACTCTGAGTCACGCAGTTGCATTACAGAAAGAATTGATACAATGGAAGTCACAAGTTTTCTGACTTACCCAGTTTACGTTTTTTCTCTTAAATATTAAGTAATTTTGAGTTGCAAAAGTGGGAAACATTCTTTCCACTGAAATGTTGCTTAGGTTATTACCAGAATTAAATAGACTGTGTTCTAGAGCACCCTGTCATGCTAGTGACAGTCCTGTTCCTTAAGCAAGTGTGAATTGTGTTGTGCGGCAGAATATCAATGAAAATTTGCTTGCATACAAAAAACTATTACGTCTTCCCCAAAGCCAAGTAGATGGTCGTTGAGTTGAGAATGACACTTCTGGAGAATGTAAAAGTTAATCTGTTGGCTGAGTCAGAAGACAATCTGCGTTTCCATACGTACCATTGTCATTAAAAGGCCGTTTACATCATCTGTTGCTCTTCTCAGTGAGTCCCTCCTTGTGGGGCCACCCAACAGGGAGGCAGGCTGCAGACTTGGGGGAGCCGGGTATGAACGATGTGCTCGCAGTGACCTTGGGCTGTCCGGGATCCCCACCTTTAGCATCAATGCCTTGTTTAGCCCTTTAAACCCATAGTTAAATTAAATGTTAACTTATTTAATTTAGAGATAAATATTGAAAATTGACAACTAACTAATGGTTAACATTAACATTTAGTTTAATTGAACAGGGTCATCTGGCAGTTTTATGCCATTTCAGAGCCCTG